CTAAACACTCCCCCCCTCCCTTCTGTCCGTTCCCCTCCACCCCCCAACTAAATCGCCTCCACCATCCTTCCCCAACACTCCCCCCCTCCTTTCCGTTTCCCTCCACCTCACCCAAAACACCCTCCACCTCTCCCCAACTACTTCCCCCCCTCCCTTCTCCACCCCCAACAACTTCCACCCATCTCCCAACACTCCCCCATCCGTCCCTCCGCCCCCAATCACCCTTCCACCATCTCCCCCACACCCCCCTTCCGTTTCCCTCTCCTCCAACAATCCTTCTCCCCAACATCCCCCCCCTCCCTTCCGTTTCCCTCCACCACCCAAAACACCCCTTCCACCCTCTCCCCCAACACTTCCCCCCTCCCTTTCCGTTTCCCCTCCACCCCCAACTAACCCTTTCACCATCTCCCCAAGCCCCCCGCCCTCCCCTTCACGTTTCCCCTCCACCCCCAACAACCCTCCACCATCTCCCCAAACACTCCCCCCCTCCCTTTCCATTTCCCTCCACCCCCAACAACCCTCCACCATTCTCCCACACTCCCCCCCTCCCTTCCGTTTCCCCTCACCCCAACACCCTCCACATCTCCCCAACACTCCCCCCCTCCCTTCCGTTTCCCCTCCACCCCCAAACACCCTCCACCATCTCCCCAAAACCACTCCCCCCCCTCCCTCCGTTTCCCCTCCACCCCAAAACCCCCTCCCCCATCTCAACACTCCCCCCCTCCCTTCCGTTTCCCCTCACCACAAACAACCTCACCATCTCCCCAAACACTCCCCCTCCCCCTCCACCCCAACAACCCTCCACCATCTTCCCCCAACACTTGTTAGTAAAAAATTACGGTCGCCAAAGAGGTTGTTTTTTTTTTGGTTTGCTTTGAATTGGTTAATTTTTTTTTTTTTTTTTTTTTTTTTTTTTGCATGAGGACTCAAAAAGCGTGATGTCTTGGAACTAACTTACATTTATTCTTGACATTGGTGGTGATTGGACCATGATTTCGAATCCGGAATATCTCTTTAAAAAATGATTGTAATACTAATATTCTTTAAAAGTGATTGTAATATTACTAATTTCTAAAATATTGTAAATAGTTACTAATTGTTTCTTTTAAAAATTATTGTAATTAGTTTACTAATATTCTTTAAAAAGGATTGTAATAGTTACTAATATTCTTTAAAAGGATCTGTT